CTTAAAGGGCTACGCCTATATTCATAGAATCTGGGGTTACAGTACGTAACCAACGTTCTGCTTCCTTAGATCATTTATTATTAGGTGTTTCATTATATGCTGTATCTGAACGAGTGATTTTAGAATTGGATTGGATCTTTATCTGAACCGGATTAGAAAATATTAGAACTTTATTAATCCCGCAGGTAATTGTTGTGCCAGAATTTCAGTTCAAAGGAGGTTCAGCACAGAAGAGCCAGCTCTTCAGGACAAGACTCAGAGGTTCACCTACACCTCAGGGATAAGGGACACTCTTTTGAGGACCAGAATGTTCACATTTTGGACTGAGAAGATGGATGGTTTGAGAGTGGGGTGAAGGAAGCGGTTTATGTAAAATGAGAGAAACCATCTTTAAACAGAGGAGGTCTCATATTTCAACTTTCAGAGTAGCTCCTCTGAGTCAGAAAAACAAGGACTAATGGGCCTTTTCCAAAGCTGCTCTTCAGCACGTCTCTACTCAGTTCGGTACGCTTCCGAGCCCTTTTCCACCATCACTTTTTTGTGGAACCAGCACCTTTTTTGGTCCCTTCTTCTCTTGGGTACCAAGCGAGCTGAGCCAGCACCAAAACGTGACGTAGGAACACTGTTGGTCATTGATTGGTCAGGGGCGGAGTCACTAGAGAGGTTTGAGAATTTTTCTAAACACTCGATCCACCATTTCTAATTACTGGTGTTCGAACTCGAGGAGCGATATGACCTATTTTTAAGATTTTAAAAACAATAATGACAACACCGTGGTCTAATGTTGAAGTGCAGGCGTTTTTTTGTGCATGGTGGCCGACGACAAAATTCAGAGTAATTTTCTTTCCTTCCCTCCATTGACTACGGTGACATTATTTACATGAACGCACCTACAAGAACCCTGCAGATGTTGGATGCTGCAGATGTTGGATGCTGTCTATCATGGTGCACTAAGATTCATAACTGGCTGTAACTACCGTACCCACCACTGCACCCAGTATTCATTGATTAACTGGTCACCATTAACTTCACACAGACTCTCCCACTGGTACATTTTCATCTTTAAATCACTTCTTGGTCTGCTGCCTTCATACATCTCCTCCTACATGTCTCTGCGTGATTGCAGCTACAGCGTGCGCTCTCAGGACATTATTACCTGCAGTGTTCCCTCAGTGAGGACTGAACTAGACAAAAGGACCTTCTCCTACTCCGCTCCTGTTTCCTGGAATATCTTGTAAAAAGAGCTGAAGCTCTCGCCCTTGACCTCTCTAAGTGACTTCAAACATCTGTTAAGTTCCTGCAAGAACCAATGCAGACATGTTACTGTTTTTAGTTTTCGATACCGCTTTATAATCCAGCTGTTTTTTTCGCTACTTTTCCTTTTAATTATCATTTGGCAAAAGGGCCTTCTTCTACTCCGCTCCTGTTTCCTGGATCATCTTGCAAAAAGACCTGAAGCTCTCGACCTTGACCTCTCTAAATGCCTTTAAGAATCTGTTGGACTCCAGATTCAGGAGTTCAGGATTCAGGATGTTTGAAGCCACTTAGACATGTTCCTGTTTTTAGTTTTCTACATTTGCCTTATAATCTAGCTGTTTTTGTTACTTTTTTTGCCATCTTATTTTAATTTGTAAAAAAAAATCTGTATGTCTTTTTATAACTGTTTATTGTTGTCGCTGTTGTCCATTGTTGTCATCATTCTTTGTTAAAATCAGGTCTCTCTTGTAAATGAGTCCTCGAGGCTCAATGCGATTTACCTGTAGAAATAAAGGTTGAATGCAAAAAAAAGAGTGAGCTCAGTGGAGCTCCGCTGGTCCCAGACTTTTCCCGGTCCTCTCCACCGGAGCCTCGGAGCCCCCTCAGGCCGTGCAGGGTGTCGTCTCCCCGGCTCCGAGCTCCGCTGGTCACTGCGAAAGATCCTCCGTGCTGCCGACTCGGTGCTCGGGCTCCAGGCCCCTGCCTTGTGTACTCTGCAGGCTCCGAGCTCCCATGGTCTCCACGGAAGATTATATGAGCTACTGACTCGCAGAAGGCCGTTGCCCGGACCCCGGCCTCGCTTGCTCATGAAGGCCGAACCCTGATCCCGGAAGACTGGCGGACTGGGACGGGTCTGGTACAGAAGGGGGAAACGATTTTTAAACACATTTTATCTATTAAAAAAATGTATTTTTTTTATCAATGAAGATTAAAAAAATTAAATGATGCTGGCTTTATCATGAAATCCTGTTTTCATTTTAATTACTATTAAATTATCTGTTAAAGTTAACTCAGCTGAAAAATCATACAAAAACAAAATTATTGGATCTCAGGAATATTTCCCTCAAACATGTTTAAAGAAGAGATACAGCCTTTAGTTCAACTTTATTCTAACCCACACATGTACAAATCACAAAACAAGAATTGAACTTAAAAACATAATCAGGGTGCTGTAAAACAGGGTGAAATACTAAAAACAAGAACAACACACTCATCTCCAGGTCAGAGGTCACTCTTTCAGGGATGAAGATGTTCACATCCTGGATAGAGCGGAACGATGGTTTGAAAGAGGAGTAAAGGAGGCCATCTTTGTGAAAAGAAACCGTCCATCATTAAACAGGGGTGGAGCCTCCGTGTTCAACTGTCCCCCTCTTACAATGCTGTGATTGCTAGTATCACTCAGCCTCCTGTGAATAGTAAACAGCCATCAGGTGCTAATGATCCATTGTTAGGCTGATGGTCCTTCTTGATCATGTGAGCAGCTGGTTTTGGTTGTCAGCAGCAAACTGGTTGATCCACTCTGAGAAGGTGCTATTTAAGAGACTGAGCTGAATAGCACTCGCTTAGAAATGGCTTCCTCTTTGCACTGTAGAGTTTCAGCTGGCAACGGCAGATGGCACGGTGGATTGTGTTCACTGGCAATGCTTTCTGGAAGTATTCCTGAGCCCATTCTGTTATTTACTTGACAGTGGCATTCCTGTTTGAGGTGCAGTGACGTTTAAGGGCCCGGAGATCACGAGCATCCAGTAGAGTTTTACGGCCTTGACCCTTACGCACAGTGATTGTTCCAGATTCTCTGAATCTTTTGATGATGTTATGCACGGTTGATGACGATAACTTAAAAGTCTTTGCTATTTTACGCTGGGTAACACCGTTCTGGTATTGTTGCACTATCTTTCTGCGCAACAATGGTGGAATTGGTGATCCTCTTACCATCTTGGCTTCTGAGAGACACTGACGCTCTGAGAAGCTCTTTTTATACCCAATCATGTTGTCAATTGACCTAATTAGTGTTAATTGGTCTTCCAGCTGTTCGTTATATGCTCAATTTCCTTTTTCCAGCCACTTATTGCTACTTGTCCCAACTTTTTTGGGATTTGTTGACACTGTGAAATTTTGAATCAACATATTTTTCCTTTAAAATGTTACATTTACTCAGATTAAACTTATGATCTGTCATCTGTTAGATTACAAATAAAATATTGACATTTGCCATCTCCCCATCATTGCATTCAGTTTTTATTCACAATTTGTTTAGTGTCCCAACTGTTTTGGAATCTGGTTTGTATAAATAAAGTGTTCATCATCAATTTTAACCAATCTCCCTGGTCTTTCTTTGTCTCTCCTGCCCCCCCCCCCCCCCCCCCCCCCCCCCCCCAAACCCCGGTCTCTCCTCTGTTTTTCTTTGTCCCCGTCGGTCTCTCCTGTCCCTCTCTTTGTCTCCCCTTTCTTTCTTTGTCCCTCAATCTCTTCTATCTTACATGTCTAGTGCCTTTGGCTGTCCATACTCAGACATCAATATACGTAAGGAGGTGGTGCTTCCTGATAGGCTGGGAGGAGAGAGGTCCTTTACCCTTGTACCTGTTGTTTTACATCATCATAGCAACCAGCCTCCCAGGTATATCCATGTTGTAGCTCTTATTGTGAAATCTGACAAAGATTCTTGAAGGTTTATTGTGATGTTCCAGTCAGACAGCAGGGGGTGCTCTGCTCCTCACACTAACTGTTTGGTTTCCTGTTTCCTGTGGACCAGCAGAGGAGTTCAGGTGAGGCCAGAATCCAAAGACGAGACACTGCTGCTTCCTCTGGGGAAGAGAAGAAAGGTGACAGTTAGGTGAGGCAGAAACACTTCTCTGATCGGTACTAATCAATAAATCAGTCAGACCTGTTTTTCTGCTTGTGTTTCTGGGCAGATTTTCAAAATAAAGGCAGGTTGTGGTGCAATGTGTGTGGG